AGAAGATGAAAGTAGACTCTGAACTAGTTACCACTTTATACTGGAGGAAGGTCTCACTGTTGATTGTCACTACATTGATCAAAAAGTTGCCTCTGAGCCCCAAACAAGAAGATCCTTATTTTAGATCAATATAATGTTGAAATTAGGCAGCCTGGACAAAACTTAAAATTATACATGAGTATTTTGTAAGGTTATTTGTGTATGTGGCAATAGGATTCTGCCTTATAGTTCTGTAATGTTTTATTTTTTAAGAGTTTCCATTAGATATATTTCCCCCCATCCCATTCCATTTTCTGTCTCTCTTAATTTTCTAAAATACAGCTGTTTTCTAGAACCAGATCACACCCCACCTACAGCTAAAACCCTCCAATAGCTTCCCATCACCTTGGTGATAAAATCCAAATCATTGTCAGAATTCAGAAATCCTCCCTGATCCTCTTACGTCTCTCCCCAGTTGGCACGAAAGCACCATTTGGATTCTGAAATCCACGAGACCAGGCATCGTATTTCACCAGCCAGAATCAGTACTTGAAGACCTTATCTATAGAGGGAGACAATACGCAGTGGTTCTTGTTCTATTCTTGCCATAACGCCATGTTTCCAACTTCACAGCTAGGTCTGTAGTTCCTATCCACCCAATTCCCTTCTTCTCTCCAGCCCTTTTTCACTTTATCAGCACCTAGCCAATTCTAGCCTGGGCAAAGACCTCACCAGCTGTATGTAGAAGGCCATCTCTGTCCTTTCCAGAATGGGAACGCCTCTCCCGAGTTCTTACCTCCCTGTGCTTTCTTATATCCAGATCTCCAACGGCCCCTGTTGTAATCACCTTTGTCACCACCATCTCACAGCTCTTACCGCTGTGCGCTCCTTGAGAGCAGTGACTGTGTTTTTATCTCTATATTACTAAGCTGAATACATAGAGTCGGAATTTAATATGTGTTGAATTAGTACTTTAGCTAGCTCATTTGATCTTCCCAAATCTTTGTGATAAAGAAGGCAGAAAAGGTCCCATTAGCCTCACTCAGTAGATGGCTGAGGCTTAGAGAGTTTGGTAACTTGTCCAAGGTCTTACAGCTAGTTAGGAACAGAATTAAACTAAAATCTGAATTTGAATCCAGTGCTCTTTTTCTATTCAGTTATTCTCTCCCCGCCCTGGGTGTGCCTACATACACACATGCTTCCACCACAGTGAATGAATTCTAGGTCAAGATGATGATGTTAACTAGATATTCCAAGCACTGTGTGTTGATATGACTCTTACAAAAAAAGAAAAAGAAAAAAAGATTCTTAAATGCATTTTGCAAGGCATTTATAAAAGTAAGAGATATGTTTTTATTTAATCACCACAACCTCTGTTAAAAATTGGAGACTGTTATTTCTGGAAACTCCAGAATTTTCTTTGGAAATATCCCCCAACTCAAAGTCTGAGGCAGCCTCATAGGAATCTATGTTGTAATAGGTGCTGTGTCACTGAAAACCACTGAAAAGACAGGGTTAAGAACACAAAATGAGCTGCAAACCATATATGGAGAAACCCATTTCTTAAAACTTGTGATGAACTCAGTTCTGCTTTCCATTTTTTCAAAGCTGAAGTTGGCTATGCTTTGTAAAGCTGCCAGCTGAGGACTCTGACAGAGGCAAGCACACTCATTCTCAAAAACTGCAGCCGCTGGGATTGCTGCCTCCCGAGGCTCCATGCCAGACAGACTGAGCATGCGAGTCATGCTTGCTACGGCAGCCTGGATGGTTTCTTTCGTCTCTAGTCATTCATATACAAAAAATACTTTGCCAGATATTGAAAATGAAGATTTCATCGAAGACTGTGTTCGAATTCATAATAAGTTCCGATCGGAGGTGAATCCAACAGCCAGTGATATGCTATACATGGTAAGGAAAATATCAATATTTGGGGCATGAGTCAGTAAAAAATAGCTAATATGTATTGACTTGGGGGTTAAATCCTTGGTAATCTGGAATGATTTTTTTCATTGTGATTAATGTGTGCAAAAACTTCACAATCT